TTTGGGACAGTGTAGCAGAGACCTAACCACATTATTGAAGAAGTTCTTTAGGCAAGACAGAGTTCTATTGACTAAACACATTTTTATTCCAGCTGTAACATGATTAGGAGCTATTCTCACAAGTATGAACAAACCATGTTATATCACCATAGTTGGGCAAGTACTATTGCCACTATTTTTACACTGTTATTTTTGTAGTCTCTTGAGGGGGGTAGTTAATCAAAATCTGAATTTCCTCCACAAAATATTAGGGAAGATAGAGAGCAGGCAAACAAAGCCTTCTGATACAAAACCAAAAAGAAAGAAATTTTGCAGGTCTTTAAAGTATGGTTCTACTCTGAAATCAGACTATTGTTCAGGAGGCAGGGGGTGCACATGCACCCCCTGAGAGTGCTGGTGCACCCCCTGAGAGGGAAGGAAAGGCAGGGGTGTGGCGCTCTATGTCAAGGAGCAATACACATCCCCTGCCAGCAAAATGGTGTCAGAGGAAGGGCAAGAGGAAGTGCTCTGGGTCAAGATACAAGGGGGCTGTGGGGAGAGAGAGCTAACGGAGGGGGTCTACTACAGACCCCCCAACCAAGGGAGGAGCTGGACCAGGAATTTTCAGGCCAGCTTGCAGAGGCACTTAAGGCAAGGTATGCAGTTGTCATGGGTGATTTAAATTACCCGGACATCTGCTGGGAGGAACAGTCAGCCAGGTCGGACCGTTCCAGGAGGTTCCTGGCCGAGATACAGGACCTCCACTTAATTCAGGAGGTGCACAGTCCCACCAAAGGAAACAAAATTCTGCTGAACAAAATTCTTCTGAGTTCAGTCAAGCTTTAAAACTAAATGTTAGTCCCACCTGTTGGACCTGGTCCTGGCCACAGGCGACAACCTGGTAAGGGGCCTCCAGGTCCTTGACCACCTGAGTGATAGTGATTATCGCTTGCCGGAATTCACCATCCAGCACAGGGTGTCAAGGGCCTGCAGCAAGGCAGTAGCCCTAGACTTCAAGAGGGTGAACTTCAACGAGTTGAGATTAGTGGGAGTGGCGCTTGGGCTCTCGAGAGCAGGGGAACTCAGTGCTTAAGATGAGTGGTCATTCCTTAAGGAGACGATACTCAGGGCCCAAGGGGTGACCATCCCAACAAGAAGCAAGGGGGGCAGGAGTGCCCAAAAGCCCCCTGGCTCACCAAGGCAGGGGGTCGGACTTGAAGATCTACAAGGTCCCTTCTGACCCTACTTCTATGATTCTATGACAGCCAGCACTGCCCGGTTAGGCAAGGGGCTGGGAGAGGAGATTCAATGCTGATTCAGAGAATCAGAGATTTGGACATAGACACAGCTTTAAATGTCTTTTCTACATACCTCGAGGTACCAGGCGTGGTTTGTGAATGCTGCGATGCTGGGACAGATGAAGCATCTAACAGGAGTGCAGGGGGTCCCCACATGCTTGGCAGCAGACCCGGAAGTGGACTGGAACTACTTCCAGTCCACTTCCGGGTCTGCCGCCAAAGCGCTGGGGGACCCCCCCACAGCCCCTGGCTTTGTGATCAGCCACAGGGGGACCCTGGATGCACCCCCAAGGCCAGGAGGCATGAGTTGCCAAGCCGGGCAGCAGGGGGAGGGTCCCCCACACACTCTGCAGCAGACCCAGAAGTGGACCAGAAAAGCTTTTTGTCCACTTCTGGGTCCACCGTCAAGTGCCCTGGGGACCCCCCCTTCCACGCTTCCAATGGGATGCTCCATCTGCCCCAGCATCTCAGCATCACAAGCTACCTGGTACCTTGAGGTATGTAGAAAAAGCATTTAAAGCTGTGTCTCTGTCCAAATCATCGAATCTCTCCAAATCTCTCCGACCTGATTTGGAGGGTTCCGATTCGATTCAGAGAGATTAACAGGTCTCCTGATTTGATTCAGATTTGACCGCCAAATCGGACCAAATCTCTGCCAAATCGAATCAGCGATTCGCACAGCCCTTGAGGTTATACTGGACTTATTATGCCTGACCCTTAGTTTGTTGCTGTTGTAACTGGTACCAAATTGCTAGAAACCACTTTGCAAGTATGTAGGCAAGTAGACCATGTATTAACATATTGTAAATATGTTTAGTTAAATATTTCATTGCAGTACTCTGTATTTAACCCATATGATCTCTATAGCTCTTTATATGGCCCTCATTAATTTATATAGTGCTTGAATACCAGACTAGACATGTGTAGACCTTTGAACTTCATCTACATCATCTCTATTATTCAGTCCTTCCTCAGAGCTAAAACTCCAGTCCAGGTCCTCATTATCTCCAAATACCATCTTGTTCCATTTTAATTCTCATTCTATTCAAAATTATGCTGCCATGTCTATTTTCCTCATTTATTCCTTGACTACCATCACACTCCTTATACAGCTGGCCTTTTCCACTACAAATAGATATTTGTTTTCACTTGTAAGATTGTTTATCATGCATGACCCAACTGATCATTCTCTGATGTGGTATCAAATCATCTATTCTCAACTCTGCCTTGCCAATGATGCCAATTTTCCTTAATAAACTTTCACACTTTCCCATGCAAATGCTTACCCGTGAGAGGTTTCCATAAATATATGCAAAGCGACTATGTTATTTTCCTTCAAATCCCTCATTAAAATATCATGTGTTTTGACTGCTGCTCATAGGAACATGGGATATATACCTGAAAGGGACCACCTGAACAACCAATATGCCCAGTCTTATTTCCAGCTGATGAAACCTTTACTTCAGAATTTACTTCAGAAATTCTTGTTGTGTGTTCCTAATTGCATGATCTTGCATTTTGTATGGTTTGCACCACTCAAGTTCCTCAAGGCAGTTCTCAAGGTCATCCATTTCCTATTGTATGATATGCCAATCCTTCTCCCTTTCAATGATAATGCCTTTAATCAGCAAGGTTCATTAGCACACATCAACGCTTTGTTCCAAAGTCTTTAAAAAATATTAAGATTGGTTCTGAGACTAGTGCCTGAGGAACCAGCAATATCCCCAGTAGGCTATTTTACTTAGGTGTGTCTTTTAATATTTATTTAGATTGTAAGTTTCAAGGCAGTGATTGCCTTTATGCTTATGTACAGTGCTTTACCATGTGTCCAGCCTGCACTACAAGCCTCTAGGTATGCTTTAATTAATGAAAAATAGCTAAAAGATGGTTGAACTCCATAAAATGCAATGCTATTTGAAACAGAAGTCCGAAAAAGCCCCCAAATCCTTACCTTTAATTTTATATTAAATGATGCTATTTTTTTTCCTTCAGTAAGTGCATACAGTTGTTTATAGTCAACAGGTTTATACTTCTGGCTGCAAAGACCATTTTTCACACGAACCACCAGATTATCTATTTTTCAAATACACACACAAACACACACACAAAAAAAAAAAAAAAAAAAAAATCA